ACTTCTGTCCGAAAAAGATATCGTGATATATAAGCAGATATCTCATATGCTGTCCTGATCGCAAACCAATCATACTAACTCCAACTGACACTGTGCTAACGAGAGTGAAACAACATAGGAATTCAGGATGATATACACTCAACCCCTATCTTTATCCGTATTCTCTATCCTACTTATACATTATTCCTGGTGAAACGAAAAATCAACCAGTCAAATGTAGTAAATACCTATTTTTGCATTTTCCTAAACTAGCAACATTCAGGAAATTCAGGCGAACTTATCAGTTACCATTTCGCACTTTTTCAACTCATCGTCAGATAAAACGTATCGATTTAGATGATGACGGTGGAATGCGATAAACGGTTTTGAACGCTCGACTTAGGCCCCTTTTTGGGTTAGTATCGAGTAGGTGCTGGCATATCGCTCTTCACGCTGTCCTCGTTTTTCCGTGTACCAAACATCGAGGTTGGTGTTCCTTCATTCTCTTTCGTAATTGTCATGTTGTCCGGTCAGTGTATCTCACTCCACAGGAGCAAGTAAACAAACTTGAACGTGGCCTGAGGAGACAGTCTGCATTTGCGATGGAAAAGAATTGTAGGCAATGTAGAGAAACTGATGCGTTGTGTTGCCGTAGTGAATTTTCTCCTTAGTGTTTGGTTTATTATTCGTGTCACCCAGTCCGCCACCTTGTTGCCCTTGTACGGTCATTGCAGGTACAGCAGTTTTCTGCTTACTATACTCACTTATGTGTTTCTCCTTTGTTCTTGTTACATGTTCGTCACGGAACTGATCCGGATGGCCATTCTCTCGTACTGAGTTTCTTATTTGTTTCAATTAGCGGATTAGGGTGTCCGGAGTGCAGACGCTCTGTGCTCGTCTCTCTAGAGAATGAACCAAGCTGTCCTTTTGTTTAATTGGTGCCAAACTACTGAAGTTGATGTATTGTCCTGTCCAAGTAGGTTTCCCTTGAGCATTCATCATCAGATGAATTTCAACAAAACGAACGTGTACATTTGTCAAGAGCTTTAAAAGAAACTAATAACCAAGGTGAAAGAGACAGTACCGTTCAATCTGTTCACTTTACAAGAAAACATCAAAAGACGTAAGCGTCAGAGTATGAGAAAAAGATTTACAAGAATGAAATAGTGGTGTTTTTGATCGGCGTTGCAACCAAAAGCAAGTTGATCATGATTTTCTCAAGATTAACTATCACCAACTACAGTCAGATCAGTTTCAATCATACGGTTATGACTGTTATCATTATCATCATTTTTTAGTTTTCGAGTGATACTACAAATAATTTTCATCGTTGTTTATTTTCCTCTCTCCTGTTCTTAGCATCACTTGGGGTCAACAGTGCGATCAATATACACGACCTTTCAGTAGTTGACCAATAATTCAAATTGCATCATCTAGAGATTTGTCAACGGAAAAACCGAAATTATTTGTGAAGTTGAATTTTTATCTAGAACTAATTTATCCCCTTGTATTAGGTAGTAGCAAAGCCGGCTTAATTTGCAGCTAAAGTAAATTTTGATTGCGATTCGGCCCGTACTAACGCTCGTCATGTTGCTCGGATTTGCTCAAACAATTGGCACATAAATTTCACGTTGCTAATTCATTTCTTATATCCATTCCTAATTGTTTTCAGGGCTGCCACAACCAAGCCGGAATTGAATTCCCTGGTGAAAAAGTTATGGACTCTCGATAGAAAAGAAATGCAGCCTTTGGTACAAAAACAACAACTAAATAAACAAGGTAAGTCATACGTGGTTATTTTCTTCAGTCACATAATTTAGGTCGTGTTGGATTCACTCGCGGAACTCCACCGGACGAAGCAAGAGCCAGTCTGTTCCAAGGAGTCAATATGAACCAGCTTCGGAAAAAACGCACGATTGAAGGTAATTATTTAACGAGTATCAATGACTTGGATATTTTTTTATTCATTACATTTTATGGTGGTCACCTGGAGGTGAACCATTGTCTATGTTTAAATAACCTGTGTTGTCTCTACTGGGAAAGACAGGTTGGTTATACTAATTCATATATCGTTTTTCACATTAGGAGAACGAATGACAAAAATGTTTTCCATTCGGTGGTGTCAGCGTGACACACACACACCAGTTTAGAGCAGCGTCATCTTCATTAGAAATCGCCAGAAAGCATAACAGACAAGTCTGACAACTGATTAAACATTTCGCCCTACCGTCAGTTGAAACAATGGTTTTACCCGACTGATCAGTAGACATGACGATGTGGTATTTACTATCATAAGTTAGTACGACCGCGAAATACTGGTCTTTTTTGGTTCGTTGTAATTCTTCGCCAACTTGGGAAAAGATTGGTTTCATCCTTTTCCAGTAAGTTTGTGCAATCCTTGTACCTAACATTTTTGTCTACGCAAAAACGAAAACACGCATCATGAGCTGAGATTTATCTGACTTAACTAAAAAGAAGCAAGCCACTCTGTAGGATAGACACTAAAACGATACAATGTAACCCTTCACTGAAACAGGTGCTTTGATTGATATCAAATAGTACCCTGACAACTTACGTCGATTTCTTGCAAAAATACTGTAATAAGCAATGAATGTGTTATCTTGACTGTTGATAAAACATCTAAAAGCAAACTGCCTAGCTACGCAAATCGGTAAAAATTAATTTAAACCATGATACCACGGGGTTAGCACAGCCGTCGGTGTTCCTCGACAAGTTGGGGTAAACGTACCCAGTGCCAGGTTTGGGGAAGATTTGATTGGATAAGAAGCAATCACAAATATTATCAGAAATGAGACCAAATTGTCGAAACAAGGCTTCATTCTAGAACGAGGGTCTACAGTGTTGCAAACACCGGCCACTCGGTTGTTATTAAGAAAGACAAATTACTGCGGTTTGCAGTCCAATGGGCCTGATACGGTTTTAGAAAATTTGGTAATCAAACCAACAATTGCATCGAATTTCACATCGAACTAGAGATAACGTTTTTGTAAAGGTCTGTTGTACGTTTCAATTCCTTGTTCGTTTCATATCCTAAACGATATGTCAGCAAACTGTGCATATCGAGAAAAACTGTTTTAAACTGGTGTTCATCAGAGTAGTGGCTAGGACCAATCCAGGTTGTCCCTAAATGATGAATTTATCCCATACAATTCCATTTGGTGCATGATAATTGACGACACTTCCGGTGTTTATGCAAAATTGTCCTAACATATATTCTGTTGTTTATTAATTTGACTTCCGGAATACGACAAAATCAAATCAATCCAGTTGTACAACCGTCGTGCCAATTCGCACGAATTGTTTGTTTTCTGGCACCAGTTTCTCTCAAACAAATCCACCTTCCCTATCTAAAACGAATAACTCACTTAGGACTGTTGAATCATAACATGTTAGAATTTCCGCTTGCCCAATAACGTTTGTTTACTTTATTTTCTCTGTTCATATTGTGTGATGAGTTTCACCTGCATTTATTTTCTTTACCAACCTGTTTTTATTATTGTTACTACTACTACTGCTGTTTTGCTGTTGGTATGAGGTGCTACTCACACGCGTGAGCAATTTTCACGCATCAGAAAGCAGTTATTGGATGCCCACCGAATCCGCGATTGGATTAAAGGGATTTACTCTTGCAACTACCAAAGAGACAAACAGACTGTCAGGTTGACGACTACCGATAAAGACACGATCACAAAACTACCAACCAATTGTTACAAATTATAAATTACATTCTTTGTAATGTTATTTACCCCTAATCGATACTGTTCTTTAAGTGCATAACTTTCCTAGTCCGGGCACCGTGTCTTTGCAATACAACACTACTGCTACTACTACTACTGTTGTGAGATACTGCTTACTTGTGAGTAGTAGGTAATATAGTTGGTGATTACTTTCGACGATCAAAAAATTAAGAAAACCACCGAGGGAAAATTACTGTACCTCAGAAAATAACTATCTATTACTACGTGCATTATCCGTTGTGCGGTTAGGAACTGTTATGGTATGTTTCTGATGAGATTTTCTGTGCTATGTATGCCAAATTACTGATGTCCCATCCATCTGTCATCCTCAATAAACCATTATCCTTGATCCTCACCGCACTCTGGAATTATAACGCTACTACTTCTACTACTCGTGATAGTAATAATATTAGCAATTTCGTCGTTTAGAAATCACAGGAAACCTGAATTGAAAAGTTAGGAAGCTTTGTACAACAATTTTATCATAATGTCTCATCACCATCGACCAGTTGAGTCCCGAGAACTCACAGGTAGAATGCAAATATCCACAGAATTCAGTAGCTGCAGATCGTACCGTTTAATTTGTATTCTAGGATAATAAATATTTGTGAGCTTGTTAGAAGCACCTAATCTTGTTTTTCGATGGAGGGATATTGTGCAAGGAAATTCCTATACTAGAATGACCGCATGGAATATGTATGAACGTCCTATCGATCAGCCGGTAAAGCTTGACTCATTCGGGATGACGCTGCTGTTTCAATACACACTCAGCACTGCCAAGAATACATCGCCCGTAGTTTGTGCTGGAACCCCAAAGCAGCATAACTTTCCCCCCACTTTCGATGTCACATGGGGTCACTTTACATGTCCTTTTACTCCTTCCAGATAATTGTTTCTTCCTGTTTATATTCAATAAACGGAAGTAGAACACGACAGTAAAAATTAATTCTATCGATGCACAACTTTGATCAATCCTGTGACATTCTTCTATCAACTCAATCAACAGACACATCGAACTAAATCACCTGTACACACCGACGCAACTCAAGGATCAATTTACGCAAGAAAAGGTCACGTTATGACCTGAAAACTGACCAAAACCGCATTTGTGATAGATGAACGACTCCCTAACATGATCCCCTCGGATGAGTTCAACCGCGAACCGGGTTGGACGCAGTGAGAACAAGTCGATGGAGAATACATATATAAACGAACGGTTACAAGCAAAACAATGACATTTCACAAACAGTGAAAATGTCAACTGGGCTGGTGATGAAACGTTTGCAAATAAATTGTCAAGCTTGACTAACAGGCAAAATGAAATTCAGTTCAACCAAGGTATAAAAACCGATATCAACAATGTCGGTAATGTCAACACTGAAAAGCCTTTTGCTGACACATCCTATTCAGTTTTATCTTTGCTCTAGTTATGCCTGGCAGATGGTGAAGTCAACAAAAAGCAGATCTACAATTTTCTTCATAATAAATATGAGATCATGGTTCAAGATTGGAATAACGCTAATAGTCATTGCAACCATTACTTTTTCTAGAAGCAGTATAATTGCACTGATCGATGATGTGCTGTGGTGAAGCAGGTGAACATTCCTATCGTCCTCGAATTCTCTGTGCAGCTGAACGGTGCCTAGCTGACCCCAACGTTTACAGAGGGCTGTTTTTAGCGTTTCAAATATGACCACAATCTGTGTGGTTTACGATAGTGGGAGAGGTAGTAGGAAGGTGAAAGTAGTAGCGCATTGAGCATTCTGGGGCCAACTCACGATGGACGCTTTCAGACTGATGTACGCTTCCCATGTCAGATTAAGACTTGAGTATGGGGGTGAGGCGACATACCCCTGCACAGAGGACGGTACGCAGGGGCACTCACACACATTGCATATGCTTCAGTCAGTTGGTCTTCCGTCAATCTACCAACTCTCGTGGAGGTCAACAGCACTCTGGAATTCCCTTCCAGCGATCGTGGTGGAAGAGAAGACAGAAACTGCTTTCAAACGGCGTCTGAATGAGCACATGAAAGGTCTATGAAGGAACGAACGCTCGTGATCGGACCTTCGAACCAGTTGTGATGGGGCTTACACGGGCACCCTGACCTCTGCCCTCAATATCGAATACTGAAGACTGAAGACTCGCCGTGAAAGTGCTAGCGGTTATAAAGTTACACTATCGAGTGTTAAGTGTAACACAATGAACGACACCAAATGCAACAACTCACGTGATGTCGCCGATCAACCGGACCGGACTGCATCACCAGAAATGTAGTGTCACTTGAAATGCCCTCATAGTTCAACTAAGCCACTCTGGTTACTAATCGCAAAAGCGATTAACATATTCCCGAGAATATAAGACTGTGGTCTTCATTTAGATATCCTTTACACCATCGAATGTAGTCCAACAAGAAAGAAAACCGTTGAGGCAACTTTTCAGCTTTTCAGTTTTTGCAGTTTGTGCAAAGATAAACATACTTGAACCGGTTTTGGTTGCTGAAGTTTGGTCGCTCATTTGGATCAATGAGTGGGAGAAAGAGAAGGAAGTTGAAGGTTCATTATTGTAATTTAACATATTATTCAACAAAGTAAATTAATTTTTTATGAAAGCTTGAAAGCGTGAATCTCAACTGCGTGTGACTGACTGGCAGCATTAAATTACACTCACAAAACCTAAAAATATGACACGGACCGATTGGTTGCACTGCATTGCTATTGTTAACAGGGGAAAATAAATGGTATTGGACTGATATTGCACACCGATCCATGACCCTTAGCTTTTCCCGCGGTTCCTGATGCTGAGTTTATGTTAACTCCATCGATACAGTTGCAAAACTCCCTAAAACAGGTGCTAAAACTTTACCAAAGCTGTCCTCTTCCAGACAGCACTCGACACTCATTTCCGTTTTTTCATTATTACAGATTTCTGTATTTCGTCTTTCTACCCACAGCGTTTTTCCAATTGATGGACAATTATGTTCCCGCTCTGGGTATACGTGAGACTATGGATACGAAAGAGAAATCAGAGGTCAATGCATTCTTGGATGCCGTGGTGAGCACCCAAGTCATGCAAGAAGCCCACCAGTTCCTGGTTAGTAAACGACTGAGTCCAGCTGGCAAGCGTGACTTCAAAGAACAGCTCTATAATATCTGGTTCAAATTTTATCGACGAAACGGGCAAGTTTTGTTCGTATTTATTTCTTGTGTTAGGTTGTCCTACTAGTTCGAGTAAAACATTTTTTAGTCGCAAGTAGAACAATTGATTGCCGTGGACGTATTGTATATTGTTTGTTTATTGGAATACCGTTTTAATTATTCACGAGCAGTCAACGTGCTCTAAGCTAATACCAAGCGATAAACACTGTAGTCAACTGCGTCCAAGCAGCGCATATTTAAGAATCTACCGGAATTGGAAACCGGACCCGAGGGGATATCGATCTCATGTGTCGGATTAATTATTCTCATCAAGATTCACACAGTATACTGAAGCGCTCACTCGTCATTATCATTGCGCGCGTTGAATTTATCGATCACTTTGGCGATTCATACATGCGTTACCGCTATCGTTGGTCAAACGATGAAGCCATATTGTCAGTGCATCAGACAATAAGAGGCACAGTATTGTAAACGGTTACGAGGATTTGAGCAGATGAAGCTATACCGCAACTCGGTTGAAATTGAATTTGCACTTGTAGTGTTGTGAGGTTCTACTCACATTTGTCAGTAGTATGCAAAATGGTGCGGTTGGCGGTTTTCTTCAACGAGACCATTGAGGGTGAATTGCTGTTCGCCGAATGATAACTACGGACTGCTCCATTCATCACGCGGTGTGCTGCTGGGAATTGCGATGACGTTCCAAATGAGACATCGGTTATATGTATGCCAAATTATTGATATCCCAACTTTGATCGGTAATAAGCAACTTACCTCGATCGGCCACCGCCTTGTGAACTTATACCAGTAGTAGTAGTAGTAGTAGTATGCAGAGTTCCGCTGAAGCGAATAAAAACAACCACTACAGGAATTCCATCGATGCAACGGTTTGCATACGGATTTCGAAGCCCGAATGCTGTTGAGAAAGTGTTCAAGCTATGCACTTTCGTGTTCAGCGCCTCGCTTCAAGATTACATCAGTCATCACAGAGGACTAAAGTCATCCACAATTGTGCAGCATGCGTGGATACACAACACACTCAGAGAGAGAAAAAAAGAAACAACTAACAGTGAATTAATGGTTAATTTAATCTGATTCATCAACAGACTGGAGTCGTGCATGCTCTTCTTACACACATGTGAGTCTGGACCACAATGATTGTATTGGCTTGAAATAAAGGCATGGGAACCATATTTTCAGCCGTAAGATGTGTTTTGAACAGTGCTCATGAATTCACTGCAGATCCATCATACCAGGATTGACACGCCCTGCTCAATTATCATGAAGACTCACAGATCCTAGAAGAAGCTCTTGCTGCTTCCACAGAAACCGTGCATAAACAAGTTATTGAATGTGTGGTGTCTATCTGTTCAGAACACATAAACATATGATTTGGGTGAGTTCATTCTCAAGCACATAAAATAGAGGTTGATGTATTGGGGTCAAATATGAAAGTCAATAAGTGATAGAAGGAGGATGGGGGATGGACACGTTTGCCTCTACACCTTTCCCTATCAAGCTTTAATCGAAACTTGCAATACATTAGCCTAGACCCACAAACCCTTGACCTGTATTCCTTTAGACAAAAAACGCAATTCTGTTTTCCCAACCCGCAGTCCTGAATTCTATACCATTTTAAGATAGCTTTGAGAAACTATAATTTTCATTTGCGAAACCGTCATTTGGAATTGAGAAACCATCAATTAGACTTGGGAAAGAAATGCTGTGGTTGCGTCCGCTTCCGTTCAGCGCACCTCATTGGTCAATTGATCATACATACATTTTTTCTACCCCCGGATCGACCACCTGTCTTCCCACGCTCTTTCCGTGCTGAAATGAGGCCGACCTCAGTCGTGCATCTTGTCGAGCTCTGTGACGTCGAATGGGTGAGTCGGTGAAGCCATGCTTGTGACAACCAAGTGGGACGCCACTCGATATGCACGAAGGAGATGACGCAGTGTCGTGCCCACT